AAAGGGAAAAAAGAAAAGGCGTACATTTGCAACACGCAGCGGTTCGAAACAAACGAACGGTGTAACAGGGACGCCGTTCGCCATTACTCGTGTACGGAATCCTAGCCGAGGGCGAACCGGTTGTGCCTAGATAGCTGGTAGGTTGTCGCAAACGGTCGGGAGCTAAAGAGGGTGGTTTCGACGTTGAAGGATGGCGTGACGCTCGGAGACGCGGCCGGAATACCTTGCAGCGCACGTACACGCATAAGTACACACAGAGAGACGGATGTGACCCGGTGTAACGATCTGAGCCTCCTCTGCTCCCTCTCTCACTCACTCGCCTTTAGACCAGGCCTGGCTTTATCACTTCGTCTTCGTCGAAAACGTCATTGCCGGCCAAACAAGTGTTCGCCGTACCGGCATGATTATGAATCGAATGGCAACCTCGGCTAAGGGTGCGTGTAGGGTAATTCCGGGTGAGATTTAATTCTCAAACATTATTGATAAGAAACATCAATTGGGATTTTGCATTTCACAAACATTAGTATTAATATAAATATGTACATATAAATACAGTGTTTACTATGTTAAAAAACCACACTCAGTATGTTATATAAATAAAAAGAAGTGGCAAGATATTGGATTAGAAACCAATGAAGATAGCTCAATCGTGTGAGTTAATGAAGCATGGACATCTTGGAGTATTAATAATAAGGAAAAATATCTGTATGTTCCATTGTTTTTAGAGGTATACTGAATCTTGCATAGTTAACAATGAAGGTATCGACACTTTGTACACACCTATTTCTGAAGTAACCAGTCGAATAGCTGATTACAAAATAAACGTGAACAAATTAGATGATCGTTTTTTTTAATGAATATAGAAATAGACCGAAGAAAAATTGGGAAACTGATATTGTCCATATTGCTAGAAAACAATTATAAAAAGTAATAATATATTTAGTTTCATAGATAGCTAAATAATAGTGTACTATTAATAATATTAAATATAATATTAACAATAGTGTGATATTAAATCATTAATAATTAATTCTCTTAAGGTTTACGTTTATCGTGAAACGATAATATTATACGGAACGCTTAAAATTCTCGCGGTGGTCAACATGTTAAAGAAAATTGCATCGTGAAAACCGACGATCTTCAATTATTTTGAAATAATCTGTTCTCGCTCCGTAACACAGGACGAGTTTGTAGGTGAATTGCTGTTCGCGATTCCCGGGGACGAGGAAAAATTGCTGGATAGTCGCCGGGGGAACGCGTTGGAACAATTTGTGCCCTAGGAATGAGGACGATTAAATTACACGTACAGCTTGGCCGACTGAGGTTCTCTGACAGAAACACATCTGCACTATCGAACATCGGGGGAAAATTGAGATTCCGGTGCTTTATAGTTTCAAGGGCTGGAAGAACGATTTTCAGGGCAGAGTAATTTTTTTCGATGGTGTTTTACATACTTGAATGTGCGATGTTCATATCAACACTTTGCGTCATCGAATAACTTTACTGTTTTGTATTCGTGTATTTCAATTTTTTGACACTTTACAAACGAGATATTTTGTACATGTTAACACTATTTCTACCGAAGGTGTCAACAGACACCATTTCAAATTTTATATTCTGAATTGACTTCTCGATTTTTCTAATAACAATTATAAAACTAACAATAGGAAATGTCCAAAATTCAATTCAGGAAAAATGATTAAACGGAGAAAATAATTTTAAGTTAAAGTTTCAAAACTTTGACAACATAGGTAGAAATACTGTTAATATATTGTTAAAAATACGTGGGTTGCTGCAAAAGTTTCAGGAAAGTATAAGAAAAGTCACAAATAAGTTATGGCCTTATTGTTTCTTAAAATATTTTCCTACAACATTAACATATTTGCTACTGTGTTGTGTCAGTAACTTCTAAACATAAAAATGTGAAGTTTTGCGAAAATAATAAACTAAATGGCAACGCTAGAACTAGCGAATTCCCAAAATTTTGGCAGCATACTAAGTAAATGTGTATTTAAAAGAATATGGCTGCTTTGATAAATAAAATCTTTTATTGGCGTTCACTGAAATAGTAATTTTTAAATAGTTTTATTATTTATTGTTCCTATGACTAATTAATATTTCCGAACACTAATTGTGGTTATTCTTTGTATAAATTTTGTAGCGCTAGAAAATAACATGAACATATATTCGGTATTTAATGTTAACATATTTATTTAATATAGAATACTCAATTTTCATAACATATTTGTACAACGACGACTGAGCAACAAATGAATAAAACAAAAGTTGTTTCTAATGTAATATGTATCAATTGTGTTGCTACGCTTATTTCTATAACATGTCAAAAAAATTATAAACATTTATTTTAAAAATAAAGTTAGATAAGTAATATTCAATTATTTCAATGATGGAGTAAATGACTAGTCAGGAATGCATTACACCTTGCTAAAAAAGTTTTATGCACTTGGAATTTTAATGATGCCTAGAAAATGCACAAACGAAGTAAAAATGGAATTTTTCGTTGTCTAGTTATAAAATATTAAATCTAATTTCATTTTTCCGCTACTGGCTGACGTGGCGTCATATTGTCGTATTACTCTTCCATAATTAAAAAGTTTATTTGTGGTGATGTGTACCTTGTCGTTCTTGCAGCGCAATGCAAATATCTCATTTTTATCAAATATCAAATAACGTTTATTTCGTGTGTTACACTTTTTCATTTCTCCATTATTTCAATGAAAAGAAAAGATTCATATAATAATTAAAGAGACTATACCATAATTAAGATTACGAACCGTTCTTTTCACGATGAAATGTTAAACAGTTATGATTCAATTACGAATTCATATCCGTAGGTTAATATTTGCCAGCTTCACGTTACATCGTTTTTTCCAAACGCGAATAACTTGGCTCATTGAAAGTTAATTTGTGGAAATATGATAATGAATATTAATGTCAATATCTTTCAGTGTGTATATGCTATAACCATATATTTAACTGTAGAAAGCGTGCACCAGCAGACGTATAATATTAACGAAACAAACATGTGCATGTTATAATTTGTTTTTTGTCTCTGAAACAGCTAGCAATATTTCATCAAAACGTGTAATATCTTCGTTTATTTATACTTTACTGTTCGGGAATTTTCAATGAAATTAATTTATATCGTTATATGAAAAATATTCAAATCTCTTATTGCTGTTTAATAAATTTTAAACGAGTAATCAGTTCCAATAAAATTTAATATTTTTTCAAACGGTGGGGCAGTTAACAACACTACAAAGTTAGGCATTTAAATAGAAATAGACAATCCAAAATATAATCTTATTACTCAAACAATTTGACCAATAATTCGCGTAAAAATCATTATTAGTACAACACAGCGTACCAAAGTATTTTCTCCAATTTCGCCACTGAATTCGTCCAATTACCCCAGTTTCTCTGTTTCACGACACCATCTCTCACAGGAAAGCATAAATTTTTAGCGGAGGAAGTTAATTTGCCCTTAAAGACGAGGACGCTCATATCTTCGCGAGCGTAAATTGCATGTGCAACGCCTAACGAATTTAGTGGGATTCATCTTTGAAGACGGTTCCTCAAGTTGCCCCAGAAGAGAGGAAGGTAGATGTTAATTGGTCCCGCTTAATTATTCTTCAATTACATTTGCTGTTGCACCTTACTATCACGCCTCTCGTCTTTTCTTGTTTCAATTCTTGACGATGCAGTTGCACGGTGACATATTACTGGGCAAAGTAAATTGCAGTAACACTGATGTGACTCGAGAAATCAGAGCGTGTAATACTTTATCTCGGAGAATATTACGTCACCTTTAGAATATTCCGATTGCACGACGTTTTCGCTGTGCTTTCTGTGTAATTTCTTTTTCTATATACAAGTGAATTCGAATTCATTTCTACAGTAAATTTTCATTAAATTCGAAACGTTAAATTTGTTCCTTCTTGGATTCAGAAGTTCGTGGATGTTCGGTACTGGTTGAATTATGGAAAGGTTGAGTCTAGGTTAAAAGGTATAGCCGAACAAGGGGGACAGAAGTGCCATTGAACCAAATTAAACCGATGATGGGCCATTCAATAGCTTACCAAGAAAGAATACTTTGTGCCAAGTTTCGGCCCTCTATCCTTATCGGTTTTAGAGAAAAATCGGATTATCAGTTCTTGTTCTACTTTCCTTCATTTAGTTGCGTATCAAAATTCTAGGGCGTGTCTAGAAAATTGCAGTTATCAAAGTGCATATTAAGGAATACTTTGCAATTTCTTATATCAAAATTCTATTTGCAAACATTTATGACGTCGCATGATTCGAAAGAATGCGGATTCCTAATGCGGAAGTAACATTATCTTTACTTTCATACAATGTTAATGATACCTGAGCACAATCTTGATAAAACCAAAGACTCTATTCCATGCTATGTATAGTTTATGTATTCCTACTAGAGGAGAACATATCTTTAAGAGTATCGAACTTTTAGCAAATACGGTATTCCTACCATTATCTTTTTTTTGCTTGAAGGAAAAGCAAATCTTCGCAGCGCAAACAACACCTTCGGATGATCTACAGAAACAACATTCAATCCTCCCAGGTAAACGAGGACATCATAACGTTACACTTCCTTCGAGATCTCCATCTTGACCAAAAAATCCTATTTCTCGCTACTCCCCTACTCGCTCGCAGAAAACTACGTAATAACATCTGCTCTTCTCTCCTCCTTTTCATATTTTGACAAAAGCACTCGACGCATTGAGTTTTTCCAGAATAAGATTTTTTAATGGAAAATAATAATTTTTATTATAAATAGTATGTTATAAATTTTTCATATATAATACACTATTTAAACTGAAAATTATTAGTAAATATAATAAATAAAATTGCAAATTAATTTGAATTATATGTTGATTGTATCATTTTAATTTCAATTTAGCCTAAATCACGCTATTTACTCTAGGTTTAATTAATTAATTCTATAAATTAATATCGCTCACCTGTTCGACCCACAGATTCGTTGTCATGATTTGATTCTTCAAGTTCTGCAATGAAGAAAAATTTTATTAAATTTATGATTTATTATATGTATGATGTTATGTTATGGTAACATTATTGTTTGATTCATTTTGAATAACAATTATATTTTCATTCTAAAATAATGTATAGCTTATTAAAAATAACGAACGTATATGTTTATGAAATACTGCTATATGAAGTTGTATACCTATTGTTGGAGAAAGAGAATATTTTATTTATATAAACAATATGTTTACTATATACGACTCAATAAAATAATGAATTTAAATCAAATCACGCGCACAATTTCATATACATTCATCTCACTTGCACACTTTCTAGAACATGTTTTCGTTAGCTTGCATGAAGTTCATGTACATTTGGTATATTCTAAATTCACTTAACATGAATATCATTAACCAGTTAACTGTGGTTTGAAAAATCTCTCATTAGGCGTGCAATAAAATCAAAGGATAAAGTGTATACTCGTCAAACTCAGAGCAAATGCATCTATAATATATTCTAATGAAAGACTAAAGCAGAACGAAGAAAAATTACACACTTATATGAAACTGTTAGGTACTCATGGCTACCGTAATGGTGATCGAGCTTTGTGGGCGTTTGCACGTGGTGTGCCGACTTATAAAACTTATACGTCTCGAAGGACGACCCGAATGATCGGGAACAAAACTTAGAAAATGAGCTGATGTAGACTTGATTCTTGTGGTGACTTGTTACGTTGTAATGTTGTACTAATTGTTGATTGACTTCCTGCTTCTTACTTCTTACTCCGTACTGCCTACTTCCTACTCCGTACTGACTGAATCTCCCAGAATCGTCTTCGACGATACCTCGGCAGAGTCGTCTTCGCGGGGGTGAAGACGTTCTGATTGGCCTTTTTACATGTAGAGGGTTGTGGAAGGGAGACACAGTCCCCTCCCTTCTTGGGTCTTCCTAGTTGCTAATGTTAGTAACTAATTCGTCCCGTTTGCAATCTTCGACCGTGGCAGGTAAAAAGCAAGAAACGCTTTGACCTTAATAACACATGATAAAACAGACGGACTACAGAGTTAAAAATGCTGGTGACTGGTTCAAGGATTTATGGCTACCGCGGTCCCTTCTCGTAATACCGTAAGGACGATTGCAAGTCGCGACGGGACGAAGGCTCTTATTGTCAAGAAAATCCACCGAATGTACAAATAAGTCTTAAAGAAAGATAAAAAGTGTATACAAATCTAAAGCTACGGTAATTTAAAGGCCCGGACGAAACGAGAAGGCTATAAGTGGCCTTAACAGAAACATTAAATAATTTATCATTGAAAAAATTAGTACCATCTTGTGTTTTAAGATGTCGTATATGCTTTTCGAACACAGTTAATTGGTTAACATATAAAAAGCGATATTACAGAAAATTAATTTAGTGTAGAATATTCCAATTCCATCAAAATTTATTCAAAATACATGCTCACCCACAGTCAACACGCACAATACATCTATTCCCACACCATTCTACTAAGTAAATATAACGTGTTTCCCTTTCTCCTCAATTATTTATAAAATAATACAAATATATTACTATTATCATAATGCAGACACAACGAATGGTAACCCTTTATATAAACAACTCACATGAAATTCTTCAAACGACGTATAAATATACTAAAATATTGTTATTTTAATTTGAAATGAAACTACAGACAATACGAAAATATATTTTCTCAACGAAATCGCGCACTCTATTTTCCAATTTCCCATAGGATTCAAATTTTCATATCACAGAAATTGTCCCTCCAATTCCGTCGTATTTTTCTCCCGCGAAAAAACTGCACAAGCGTATTATTGGATGCTTCCAATATTTGATCTGATATTAGATCCGAATCGATGTCTAATAAAAGCTCAAGGAGCAAGAATATGAAATCCTTGCTTATTGCTGTACCGTGCATATACATACCGTAAATATCGATTTCTATGTATTACAATTCCGAAATAAACTCAGTTCAACGGTCGATTACAGCTTATAATGATATTTCTTCCGTGTAGTAGCCGCGCTAAGCACGCGTTAACACCTTGTCCTATGATTTCTGTTTGAACTATGATCGATCTAACTACTTTGTTATCACAACATTTATTGAAAGCAAGATAAAAATTATAAGCATATTTTGTGTTAATGTTTACTCTAAAGTAGAATCATTGATAACGGAGGAATAATATGCAATTTGTCTTCAAATAAATTAAATAATATTTATATCTGTTAAATTCTGTTTGAAATCTTCACCACGAGTTTGACACGATATTGTAGGACAAGAGGTTAGACCAAAGAAATACCGGCTTTCCTTTGGTTTTACTTTCATTATTTCCTCGTGGGAGAATAATCCGCACATACATACACATACAATTTCAAACAAGAGCCTAGATTCTAGACTGTGGCACGTTCGTGAATTATTCATTCTTTGGATCGACGTTAGCGAAACATTTGGGAGCGGGCTAATTTAAATCCTGTGCCGTGCAAGTTTTAATGAGTTCGGTATTCGTTCCTTCCGAAGAAGAACGTAACTGTGTGACAGCTGTGAAATGTAAATTCCTTGAGGCTATTCGAGTGCTAAGAAAAATAAAGATGAAATCCACTGGGCCGAACTTCTTGATTAATGTTAACGTTCCGCTACTTTGGTGCCCTTGTTAATATTTCTCTTTGCGAAAATCCCCTTGTATACATTCAGAAGCGATTTTAAAGGCTTTATGCGGAAACTGCGGAAAGGGCAATAAACTCAGTTCCCTGTTAATTTTCATTTACGCGATTTGTAATCTCTGCTTACGAAATTATACGGAATCTCCTGTGGTATATTTGTGCGAATGTTTCTAATATTCAAATATTTCTGGTTTGAAGGTAATTTCACTGAAATTTATCGATAACGAATACAATCTTATTTTGCATTTTGAAATTACGGATTAAGTATTATATTAATTGCTTATTTTATTATATTGCATTATTTATATTATGTTATTTCATTTATCGCAGAATTTAGAAGTAACATCTATATTATTGTGTATGTAATATAATTATATATTATTATCTACATAGTAATATATATATATATATATATATATATAGATAAAGCATTACATAGACTGTTTCACTCTTTAAGTGGAAATAACAAATCCCAGTTGCGTATACGCTCAATATCAAACTTGATTTTACAAATTATTCTATAAATACGTCGTATCGCAACCAAAATAATTTTCTTGTTTTCATAAATGAATTTAATTGAATCTGAAACCTTTCAATTATTTTATAACTATCGTATCCACAAAGTTGCGACAAAAATGAATAGAGTAAATGACAACGTTTGAGTCGTAATGCAAAGTGTTAATTTCATTTCAGTCATGTCAAGATTTGAAAATAATATATGGTTGTCAGAATAATATAAAATAATATGAAATAAATGGCAAGGCGAAGGGTTAATTTTATTTCACTTATCTCAAAATTTAAAAATAATATATTACTGTTAAAAATAAAAAAAATGATCTACACGTTATCGTAAGAAACGTTAAACAACGTTTTCCCAGATTTTCCATTCCTAAAATGGCGGAATCATTTAAAACACAGAGCATCGATTGGTTTGCGTATAACACGAACGGGCTACAATGTCCGGTTGTTTCGCCGATTATTTATCGTTGAGGTCTACGGGAAGTGGAAAGTATTTAAAGCGCGTTAATCTACGAACAATGCCGGAATATCGGAGGGCGGCGATTTATCGACGGCGCCATTTGGACGCCGCATCAAAAGTCTATTACTCGTGGACACCAGCAACGGCACTGGCAGAGTGCAATGAACCCGACGCTTTTGCATCCTGATCCGCGTTTTATTGAGAACAGGCTGCCGAATAATTACGAGAAAACTGTGACCGTATTGATCTGTCCTGACTTCTTTTCACGTCTAACAGAAATTCGTCTAATACTGACGAATAAAAATATAGTAAAATGTCAAATGTTCGAAATAAGTAATAAAGAAAGAAATGCAAGGAGAAATAATTTTCATTGTCTTCTTAGCCTACAAGAAACGCAACTTCATAAATTTTCAGTATTGCTGTACTTATTGATCCTTTAAAAAATTCCATTGAGTTCAATAAGTGGAACTATTTAAGTATTTAAATAGATTAACTACTTAATACTGAAATACCCAATAATTCCATTTTAACAACTTATGGTTCTTCATATCAACTTTCTATGCATTCTGAAGATTGTGAATATAGTTAATACTTTAAATGTTTCTTGTATTTTATACTTCAGTCTCAACTTCCATAGAATTTATCATTTTATTCATATTATACATAAAACGAATAAATGTGGATTACTTTAATGCTACAGAATAATTATAACATCTTCAATACTCAATATTCGTTTTTCAAAAGTAGTATGAACTAAATTTTATATAAAACTAAATATAACGTAATTATAATGAATTGAATTTTATATTACTTTTAATAACAACGATACATAATATTTAGGAAAAAAATTACATACGTAATAAAATATTTGTAACAAGTATTTCACAATATTTGGATTATCTTCAATGATGAATCCAACACGAAAAAAGGAAAGTTTATATAAACATACATTTGATATGACTCTGTTTTCCAGTTATAGCTTCATCTTTCGATATGCAGCACACACGAAATGGTGTTACTTGATGTCTACGGTTTCCAAAATACCGGTAGATAACCGAGGTGCCCGTCCTGCATATTGAGGAGGGTTGCAGCAATTTCGAATAACGTCTGGCAATTTTGAACAGTTAAAGAAGTTTGTGATAAGATGTTTAAGAATGTTTGTTCGATTTATAGATTTTAATTATACAAATTTACAATTTCACGCAACATACTGCAATATAATCTTTCAAAGATAGGAACGTGAATCATTTAATTAAGACAAGAATAACAAATGTGTCTATTAAAAAAGGTATTAATTTCGCACTATTTTCGTACTTTTGTTCTGCACATTTTCATATATCCTCCATATACTATACGTCTAT